CCCCAAAACCCCAAAACCCCAAAACCCCAAAACCCCAAAATTTATAGCCAAATTGAAATCTTCTAATCAATGCTTCTAGATGCTACTCTGTTCTTGAGAAGAGTCTACGAACATTGTGTAGTCTCCGTTCTTGATATCTTCCTGGCTGATTCTACCCTTCGAGCTCTCACTACTAATCTTTGGGCTAGGCAAGAAGTTGAGCAAGAACTTTCCTCGCTTCTCTAGAGGGACTTGGGCCAAGAGTTTCTCCATCTTATGAGCTATGTCATCAAGAGACTTCTCTTCAAGCTGTAAGGGCTTTTTCCTTCGAGTCTCTGTCTGGTTGATTAATTTCTGATAATTCCGACTTTCGAATCCCTGATTTTTATTGGCAAAATGCTTCATTTGGTCGAATTCCTTATTCAAAGAGCTCCTGTCTGAGTATAGGTTCTTCTCAATATTCTCCATCTGGATCTTAGTAGACATCTGCTTTTTAAGGCTTGGTCGCTGATGGCTTCCTGCATCTAAACTGGTAACTCAATGTAATTACTTTTTATTGGAGAAATATGCTTTGGGAAGACAGTCTTTTTATAGTCATACTTCTCTTCCTCAGACCTAAAGCATCAAGAGACTGTCTTACATTGCCGAATCATGATTTAGCTCTTTATTGTGCCTGAGGTCCATCCCAACATGATGAGGTACGGCTCCATTAGTGGTTTCCCACTCATAATCATCATCTTTCTTCCGAAGCGAGTCAGGCTTCTGAATAGTCTTGATAATTTTATGAGTCTTTGAAGCCTGAAGCCGTCTTGAAAGCTTCGAGTCATGGTTCCTCGAAACCTTAATACTTGGCAAGTGATTTTTTCCTGATCCATTACTATTCTTAAGGCTAAACCTTACTTCTGATCAATGCTGTCTTTACTGAGAAGTCGGATCTTGTTAGAGCTATTTGCTAGTCTTCTCAAAAGATCGACCCTTAGACCTATCACTGAGAAGGTACTTCTTCTGAGGGATGGGCTTTTTGCCTCCTATAAAGTTGTCAGTCAAAGTGGATGAGCGAGGTAGTTGACTTACGGTACTCAACTACTTCGATATCAGCGGTCCCTATGAGCTTATAATACTGCATCTGCTTCTAGAAAGATCAGGGAGCAGCTTTACCCTTGACAAGTTAGTTCTTTGTTGCTGGATAATTGTGCTATTTGATGGGGCTCCTAAGGTTTAACCATAACTCACTTGTAATCGAGGAGACTGATTTATCATTAGATTGTTGGTTTTTAGCCTTCTTGGCTTTCTTCAACTTTTCCTTTAGTTTAGGAACTTTTGTTGGGTTAGGGATCTTGTAGTCCAAACTATAAAATTACAAAATTTTGCTACCTCTTGCATCGCTTTTGGTCTTTTTCGAATCGTTTTACTGGCACGAAAGGCTTCTGAGGGTCAAGGTTTACCTTCACCAGCCTTTCCCCATCTACTTCGGTATGTGAGTTGTAGTACTGCTCTACCATTTCTTTATAAAGCAGAGGAGCAATTACAGCTAAGTTCTTGGACTCGTGTTTGTAGAACTCCTTGCGTTCCTTCGGATTACTCAAGAATTGCTTCAAAAATTTCACTTTGGAAGAACTAGCCTTTGACTTGTTCTTGCTCAATCGGTTGCTGAGATCTTTAACATCGAGCTCTTCTAGGCTAAGCCCACCCATTTTACGAATATTTTTCATGAAAGCTCTCGCACACTAGAGGGTCAGCTGGGGTTATACCTTTTGGAGGCAAGATACTCAGTGGAAGGTATCTATGTCCTCGACTAAGCTCTGCAGCAACTTTTGGGCTTGCTTACTTACCGCCGCTGTTGGGCCCTTAGCGATATAGCTATTCACTATATCCCAAAAGAGTGAGGCGATATTATAGAAGAAGGACAAGGATTACAACTCTCATGTTTATCATTAATTTATCGAAAGAGCTAACACCTATTGCTAATGTGTCTTTATAATATGAAAACCTTCTAACTTCAAGGATTATAGCAGCATTCTGACTCAGTTAAAAGATAGCAGTCTATCTCGTTTTAAGCAATAAAGTTTGGACTTTAGCTCAACAGAAGCACAAAGATTTTGAAACCGAATTTAAACGCCAATTTTGCCTAGATGCAAATTTTGGTCTAAAACTGGTTACCATACCGTCATGAGTCATCCTCTAAGTGTTAAGATATACGGAGCTTACACTGGATACCTGGGAGCCCTTCTTATATGGTCCTTTCACCTTCTTGACAATGGGGAATGCTTTCTTCATATAATTTAGCTGCGAGTCACTTGTATTATTAAACTTGAAATCCTGAGGAGGGCTAAGATAAACTTCATTGTTTGTAGCTCTATAAGCCAATCAATTGATACCCAAATTGGTCAACTTGATGTACCCAGTGCGCGAATGGGCAGAATACTTACTCTGACATTCCAGCATTGCTAGGGCTCTCATCGCAAAGACTTGTCACTTGTATTTCGGGTCTATATGCAGATAAACAACCAAAAGTTTACGAGAGCTTACCCTGGCGACCGATACATCTTGGGAAGATGGACTTTCGGCGATGAGTTCTTTGCACTTGGCTTAAACTTGGACCTAATCTTTGATGAATGATGTTTTGACATTTTCCTTTGTCTTTCTCAAGTAGCGTATTCAATTTTATATTAATCATTAGGGGTTTTGGGGTTTTGGGGTTTTGGGGTTTTGGGG